CGATTTCTGTCCATTTAAAGTGTAGCTTGGCCCCAGAGACTTTCTCCCCCAGGCCATTGTGATGGTGATGGCTTGGTCGCCACAACGGCTCCCGGAGGACCAGGCACTTAATGGCAGAGCCCAGGCAGCTGTCTGGTGTGGGGTTGCTGGCCATCAGAGACACGCGGCCTGTGCAATGTTGACCCAGAGGTGAACAGTCCCTTTCTCATACCTACTCCCCAGAGGCAACGGTCCCTCATTAGGGTACAGTTTCTAATCCAAACAACCATTAATCTTGCTCAGGGTTAAAAGGCCAGAAAAGCAATTTTTACGTTATTTTGATACTGTACTTGTGTGTATTTTGCAAGAGCAAACTTTGTTGACCACTTAAAAATACTCTGCAGCTGTGTCCATGACTACTCCAACAATGCTAAGCTCAACACAGCCCTTCCTGTGCAGGGAGGAGGGACACTGGAGTGCGAAGCAAGTCAGGTAGTTACTGTGGCACTTGATAAGTCACAGAAACGTGACCTACTTGGAACAAGTTAGTATTTTTGCATCACAAAGTAATTCAGAGATGTGCATGTGTTTTAAGTGAAAATGCCACTATTTGTGATGGTTTTATGAAAGCAATATTATACAAAGTTGATTATACCATTCTTTTAATTTTCCTTGCTTGGCAAATAAATTAATCCATATACATGGAGCTGTGACTCCTAAGAATTTTTTTTTTTTTAAATCATGGGATGAGCAGTTGGCGTAATGGCTATGTCGCTGAACTCCCATGTAGTCGACGGCAGTTCGAGTCCCGGACCCAGTGGTTTAAACTCAGGCAACTCAGGCCGAGCGTTTGTGCGTGCGTGCCCAAGATCCCAAGAGAAGAATGGTTGAGAAGGGATTGTGATGTGGCCATCCACCCCTGGGTGTGTGTGTTGGGGGGTGATTTCTCACTTTCTGTTTCTCTGTCTTGCTCTGTCTTTCTGGCAAGTGCATGTGCCCTATAACAAAAACCTCTCAAAAAAAAAGAGAAAGAAATAAATAGAAAAATAGGGTTTGGGGACCAGCAGGTGGTGTGATGGTTAAGGTATTGGACTCCCATATGGCTGACCTCATTTGAGTCCTGGACCTGGGGACTTGCTTTCTCACTTTCCCTCTCTCTCTCTGGTCACATTAATAATAATAATTAAAATTTAAATGAATAATTTTTGTTTTTTAAAGAATTATTTTTATTAACTTTATTTTAATTTGACCAGAGAAGGACAGAGAGAGAACGAGAGAGAGAAAGTGAGAAAACAAGCTGCCAGGTCCAGGTCTTGAACTGCAGTCAGCCATGTGGGAGTACAGCTCCTGTAACCATCATGCTACCTGCTGGCCCCTAAAATGAATAATTCTTATAAGAATTGAATTTGAAATTGTAAAAAAGCACTTACTTAATGCCTCTGAAACATGAAAGTGTTTGGTTTACAGAAACAGGCCTAATCTATTTCGCACTTTCAATAGGTGGTAAGTCACAAAACACATTTTTTTCATATTTTCAAATGGTAAGGACTAAAGTGATGGTGATCAAGATAAGAACAGTAAGGCTTCCTAAATCTGTTTCTTTATGCTTGACCTTTAAATTCTTCCTCTACAGTCGTCATCAATATGAACACCAAATACTTCTGGTGAGTCACATTTAGGCATCTGGTAACAGTTATAAAGGCATGGAACACTAAAAGAGACAGAGAATGCATTTTTATCTCTCAAATTTGATTTTACATTCAATTTCCTAAATTCAAAATCTAACATTAGGGGACCAGCTGGTGGCGTGGTGGCCAAGGTACTGGACACTCCCACATGGTCTATCATAGTTCTAGTTCCAGACCTGGTGGGTTGCTTTCTCAGTTTTTCTCTCTCTCTTTTTCTGTTTCTCTCTCTGGTCAAATTAAAATGAATGAATGAATACATAAAATTAAATAAATAATTCTTTAAACAAAAAAATCTAACGTTAAGGACTAGGTGACACATAAAAATTTAGTCAGAACATATTCAGGTCCGAAGAGGCCTTGGTTGAATCCAGTAAGTCACAGACCAGACTGGAGCAAAATCCAGAGCCATTGAACCTAGTCCAATGCTCTTCTACTAAAGTCCTGTCACATTAGAGGATGCTATGAGTTCTCCAACTTACCTGGGCTTTTCTGGGGCATGGGGGTGATGTTGAGGAACAAAACCCATGTGTGTATAACACACAGTGTGTGTGTGTGTGTGTGTGTGTGTGTGTGTAGAGTTTTGCTCTACCATATGTATTTTGAGACATTAATGAACAACTTTTACTAAAGTTTCCTAAAGGATCTCACATTGGCAAAGAGTTTATCTGCTTTTCTGCCTTTCTCACACTGAGCTGCTCTTAGGCCCCATGATTCTCTTGAAAATCTGGAGGGGAATTTAGCTGTAGATGGACTGTGAGGTGTGGGGAATCCTGTTGATACCGTGTTATGCTTGCCTTTTGGGCACTTGGTATAGTGAAATTGAATGTTTTCTAGAAAATAATATTACACCTTAATGGTGCCATTTGATTTCTGAGCAAAGTGTATACATACACATAGCTAGAATACACTACATATATTTTATGCATACGAAATTACTGGAAGGACATATACAAAATATTTAACAGCTGCTATCTTTTGAATGGTGCAACAGGAACAATTGTTTTCTTTTGCATTTATCTTGGTATTACCAGTCGTTGGTGCTGAACATATTTTACATTTGTAATTAGAACAAAACCCCAATAAACATTATCATTATTTTTTTGTTGTTGTTAGGGGGAAAGTGTACTTGACAGAGTGACAGAGAAAGAGAGTAGAAAGCACTCCCCATGGGGAATGGTCATACCACAATCCCTTCTCCTTCCTTCTTCCTCTTTTTGGGGTTTGAGGCATGGATACAAACGTGCTTAGTGTGTTTCTCAGGCCTCCAGGTCCAGGACTGAATGGTGGTCAGCCATGTGGGATCTGGCTGCCTTAACCACCAAGTCATGGGGCCGTCCCACATTATTTTAAATCTCAACAAAATAAAGACCTTTACAGAGATACAGTAGGCCTAGGCAGGCTGAATGGTGCAGTTATTATTTTTTTTTCATGTTTTTTAGAAATCCAGATGCAATAATGCATGTATTACTCATTTATCAAATTAAAATTTTAATTCCATTTTAAACATGAATAAATCCACAAGTACCCTGAAATCCATATTGCCAAGCTTGAACAGGTCAACGTGTGGTATTTTAGAGACATTTTTGCTATACAGTGTCCGCATTTGCTAGAGACAGACAGTGAGAAGTCACCTTTCAGAGGGGATGGCCATGCTGCAATCCCTTCTCATCCATTCTTCTCTCAGATTCTGGGATTGCATGCACATGCACCTGGCCTAAGTTTCAAGCCTCCGGGCCTGGGACTCGAATTGTGGTTGGCCATGTGGGAGTCTAGTGACACAACCATTATGCCATCTGCTAGTCCCAAGACATTTTTCCAAAGAGAGAATTACCATATAAGATGATGATGTATTTCTACAAAGAACAATTTATTCATCAGAGGACCTGTCCCTAATATTTTATCCCTTTGGATTTGTTTTTACCTCCTAAATATTTGTTATATATATATATTTTTTTTTTTGAGAGGTTTTTGCTATAGGGCACGTGTGCTTGCCAGACAGACAGAGACAGAGAGACAGAAAGCGAGAAATCACCCCCCCAGGGGAGATGGCCATGCCGCAATCCCTTCTCCTCCATTCTCCTCTCAGGATCTTGGGCACACACGCACACGCGCCCGGAGTGAGTTTAAGCCACCGGGTCCGGGACGTGAACTGCGGTCGACTACATGGGAGTCCAGCGACATAGCCATTACGCCAACTGCTGGTCCCGTTACTAATATTTTTATAAAATAAGATGGATCTGACCAAAGACATTAAGATGATATTTTTTCTTTTCTCTCTCCTTTTTTTTTAAAAAAATATTTTATTTGACTTCATATTTTTTACTTTTAATTATTTGTTTTTTTAATAATTATTTTATTTAATTTCATTTATTTGACCAGAGAGGGACAGAGTGAGAGAGAGAGAGAGAGAGAGAGAGAGGGAAAGTGAGAGGGTAAGCCACCAGGTCCAGGGCTCGAACCATGTGGGAATCCAGCACCCCTAACCACCACGCCACTTGACAGCCCCAATTTATTTGCTCATTTTTATTTTATTTTAATATGACCAGAGAGGGACAGAGTGAGGGTACAAGTGCGAGAAAAAGAGGGTAAGTGAGAAAGCAAGCCGCCAGCTCTGGAACTTGAACTGTGGTTGACTGTGGGAGTCCAGCCACCTGCAGGCCCCTTCTCTCTCCGTTTTTAAAATTAGAAAAGTAATATATGCTTCTTGTAACAAATCCAAACAGTACAGATATTTATAGAATAAAAAGTGAAAGTATGAAATATAAGATGAGCATTTTCTTTTAATTTGTCACACCCCAAACTCCATTTTTCCAGTAATAACTTTTAATATTTTGATGTACATCTTTCTTTTCATATACAAAGACACAGACATGCAGACACATACATAATATAAAAAGTAAAAATCAGGCCATACTAATACATAACTGTTCTGAGACTTGCTTTTGCCAACTTACTAGAATATCACAGGTACATTTCCAACAGTTACTTTATCCTTATTCATGCCACCATAGTAGTCTACTGTCTAATAGACTATGATTTATTTATCTACATCCTACTAGTGAATATTTGGATTGCTCAGAATTTTTTTTTTTATTAGAAAAGTGTGTCAGAAACATCCTTGCCATATTTCTTTACGTACTTGTGCTAGTATTTCTAGAGGACACATTTCTAATTTGTTGTAAGAGATGTTTGCTATAGGGCACATGTGCTGGCCGGAAAGACACAGCAGTGGAAAGCAAGAGGGATGGCCATGCCACAATCCCTTCTTCTCCATTTTCCTCTTGGGATTTTGGGCATGCACGCAGCCATGCCCAGCATGAGTTTCAAGCCTCTGGGTCTGGGACTTGAACGACAGTTGGCTTGGGAGTTCAGTTCCTTAACTACTACACCACCTGCTGGTCCCTAAGAATAAATTTCTCAACATGCAGTTACTGGGTGGAAAATCAGTACATTCACATTTTTCATAGATGCTGAGTTTCTGCCCACTTGATACGTGGAGCAGGGGCAGAGTATTCCGGGGCTTTGGGGCAGAAACACAGACCCCCAAGGTCTTAGTTCAGAGGTCTGACGTTGTCCAGCTTATTTACAAAGGTACCCTGTCTCCAAGCATCAGGGAATCTTCAGCAAGGTAAATTTATATCACTTTCGAACCTCTAACAGGTTAAGAATTGGTGCTGATGGGAAGACAATGTTCTAGCTCGTTTATCTTCTGTTTTCAAAACTGCAATGGCCAATGGTAATTCTTTCAGTTAAAATCACAATTAATACAGTTTCATTGAAGCTTCAAACAGAGCAGACAGATCCTCTTCTGACTGGGGACGGGGTGCAAGCTTGGTGACCCTTTCCTGAAACAGAAAATATAAGGAGTTACCCAGGGCTTTGAAAAGACAGTGGTAGAGGGACCAGCAGTTGGCGTAATGGCTATGTCGTTGGACTCACGTGTAGTTGACCGTGGTTCAAGTCCCGGACCTGGTGGCTTAAACGCATGCCGGGCGCGTGTGCGTGCAGGCCCAAGATCCCAAGAGGAGAATGGAGGAGAAGGGATTGAGGCGTGGCGTTCCCCCCTGGGGGGGGGGGTGATTTCTCGCTTTCTGTCTCTCTGTCTTTTTGGTGAGCACATGCGTCTTATAGCAAAAACCCCTGGGGGAAAAGAAAGAAAGAAAGAAAGAAAGAAAGAAAGAAAGAAAGAAAGAAAGAAAGAAAGAAAGAAAGAAAGAAAAAGAAAGAAGAAAGAAAAGACAGTTGTGTGCCATCCAAAGTGGTGGTTAAGGTGCCTTGATCCCACAAGGTCGATGGAGTCATTTGGGTCATGGACTACGAGGCTTGAAAAACACACAGAGAGGAGCATGTATGAGTGAGTGCCCCAAATCCCAGGAGAATGGAGGAAAAGGAATCACAGCATGGCCATTGCCCCGGGGGAGTGATTTCTCATTTCCTCTTTCTCTCTCTCTCTCTGTCTCCCTCTGGTGAGTGCACACACCTTATAGCAAACACAAAACAAAACCAACAACACATTTTGTAAAAGCTGCTAAGTTATGTAAATAAATTCAGTTATAAGAAACAACACCTCGATATGTCATCATTAAAAATCTTATTCTTTTTTAAAAGAATTACTTTATTTACCTTTTTTTTTATTTGTTTATTTTAATTTGACCAGAAAGGGAGAGAGAGGGAGAGAGAGAGGAGAGAGAGAGAGAGAGAGAGAGAGAGAGAGAGAGAGAAAGTGAGAAAGCAAGCTGTCAGGTCTGGTACTCAAACTGTGGTCAGCCACATGGAAATCCAGCACCCTTAACCACCATGCCACCTGCCGACCCCAAAAATCTTATTTCTTGTGTACTTTGTATTAGCTGATCCCCAATTCAAAAGCTTCTCAAATAATGCTTATTTTCCCACAAAGCTTTTGAAAGCCATTGCCCCTTGCCTTATGTCCTGGCAAAATTCGTCTGCTAAATGTACAGGCCCAAACTAATCATGGGGAAAATATTTTCTCAAATGACTAAACTGGGTGGCACAACCTCTTCCAGGTTCTCTGTGTGCACAGCGAATGTCTTAGGCACAGCAAATGCTACCAAGGAAAACAGACTTAATCGTCCTTGACTTCTATACATTTTGCAACCTGAACTCTTGAGGTATATGCAAAAAACACACTTCAGTAGAAATTAACTTTCAGGATACATGCAGCAAGTGACTTTTTTTTTTTTTTTTTTTGGATCTTATTTACTTTCTCAAATACATTACAGAATTTGCTTAATTTTTCCAATAAATATTATTAGTCAAATCAGTCAAGATAACCAGCACATCTTTTGCTGTTTATGAGGGGTTTTTAAAAAGTTCACAGAAAATGCACATTAGGAAAAAATTATGTGTGGATTTCATTTTTTTTTTTTACACTTAAACTCATACTTTAATTCTGTTTTTCTATGAATGTTTTGAAGTTACCTTTTATATTCCCAGCTCCTTTATCCCTCTGGGATAGGAGACCAAAAGATATAATGACTACCCCATGACCAAAATAAAATCAAGAATGGTGCCATTTTGGGGGTTCCATTTTCATGGGTTTCTGGGTCTGTTCTCTGGTGAGAAGTGTGTGTTTGGAAGCACTCCTAGCAGAACAGGGACACTTGTGAAGAGAGAAGCTTGGCCATCTCACTGTTCTGCACTCCATGTCTAACTCAGTGCTTGACACACAGTAAATAGATCCCAACAGTCATTTGTTAAATTAATGAAGAAGGTGGGAGGGAGGTTATTGGCATTTCTAAGTTGACATACACAAACCAGAACTCTAACTGACCTGACTTCATTTTCTTCATCTCAGCAATGACATCTACCAGCTCTGGCAAAAACCTAGGAGTCATCCTTGATTCCTCTTTCCTTTTCCCTGAGAGTTCAACTCCACCTGCAAGTGTGTCAGAGCTACCTCCAAAATGAATCCCAAATCCCAGCTCTTTGGGTTTCCTGTGGTGCCACCATCAGCCTTATGTACTACCCTTCCCCTGTCCTACTGGAAATGCCTCCTAAACCTGTTTCCACTTTTGCTCCACTCTCGCCCCCTATAGGTCATTTTCCTTGTGGCAGTCAAAGTGATTTTTTGGGAGGAGGGAGATTTTTTGCTATAGAGTGTGTGTACTAGCTGTAAAGACAGAGAGAGACAGAGAGACAGAGAGTGGGAAATCACCCCGGAAGGCAGATGGCCATGCTGCAACCCTTTCTCCTCCATTCTCCTCTTGGGATTTTGGGTGTGTACACACATGCACTTGACATGTTTCAAATCATCGGACATGGGACTTGAACCTTGATCAACTATGTGTGAGTCCAGTGCCTTATGTACTATGCTACCTACTCGCCCCAAAGTGATTTTTCCCCCCTGGTTTAAATGGACAATACCTTAACTGTGCTTAAAACTTACTAATGGCTTCCCATTGTAATTAGAACAAAATGCTGGCCTCTAAGGTTTCTCTCACCTGGACTGGCTTCTTGTTCGCACTCAGACTCTGTCTCCTGGGTTCCTTTTTGGTCATATTTCTTATAAGCCTATGAGTGTAAAGATGTTGGCTCTGTCTCAGGGCCTTTCTCTCTGCCTGGAGAGCTTCTCCAATCCTCATCTGGCTGACTCTGCATTCAGTCAGAGGTCCCTCACTACCACAGAGAGATAACTATCTTATTCCCCAGATTTTCCTTCATTTGACTAGTCATTATTTGAAATGATTCCTTTTATATCTTCTTTATAGGTTTGATTGAATATTCACTGCCTATTTCTCCTCACTAAATGTAATCTCTAATAGTGAGGGAAAGGGACTTCATTTTCCTCCTCGCAGGACCTTATACAATGCATAATGCATCATAGGCTCTTAGTATGTGTCAGATAAAAGGAAGCATGAAAAGAAGAAAGGACATATTAAAAACAAAAAGCCTCAAATGGATCAAAGACGTAAAACCCTAGAACTCATAGATGAACACATGAGGAAAATCTTTATGACAGTGGTTTCAGCAGTGATTTCTTGGATGTGACACTAAAAGCAAAGGTGACAAAAGAAAAAAAAACAGATAAACTGATGTGCTTCAAAATTAAAACTTTTGTGCATCAAAGGACACTGTAAATGAGTGAAAAAATGACTCACAGAATGGGAGAAAATATTTGCAAATCACACATCTGTAAAGAAATTAATATCCAGAATATAAAAATAAATCCTACAACTCAAGAACAAAAACATCCAAATAACTAAAACAAATAAGCAGAAGACCTGAATAAACATTTCCTCAAAGAAAATATATCAACAGTCATCAAACATGTGAAAAGATACTCAATATCATTAACCACTAGGGAAATGCAAATCAAAACCACAATGACATATTATTTCATACCTATTAAGAAACCTATTACAAAAATAATGGAAAATAGCAAACGTTGGTAAAGATGTGGAGAAATTGGAACCCTTTCATATTATGAGTGGAAATTTAAAGTAGTTTAGCTGCTATGGAGAACAGTTTAGCAATTCCTCACAGAATTATCATATGATCTAACAACTCTATTCCTAGATATATAACCCAAAGAATTGAAAGCAGGGACTCAATTATATATCTATATAGATATATAGAAAGATAGATAGATTTTCCAGAGTACCAATATTAATAATAGCATTATTTATAATAGCCAAAAGGTGGAAACAACACACATGTTCATCTATAGATGAATAGATTCAAAAAAAAAAGGTGGTATATACGAAGACGGAATATTATTCAGACACAAAAAGGAATGAGATTCTGACACATGCCACAACATAGATGAAACTCGAGACACAATGCTAGATAAAATAAGCCAGACAGAGAAGGTCAAATATTGTATAATAATTTTTTCTTTATTCACGAAAAAGTATGTGTGTGTGCATATGAGAGAGAGAGAGGGGGGAACACTCTCCACGATCTGGTGACATCGCAATTTCCTTCCTCCTGTGCTCGAGCCCATTCGATATTGGTAACTCACACACATGCCTGGTGTGTTTCAGGCTGAGTGAGCCAGGGATTACAACCTCAGTTACCTCGTGGGATCTAGCTCCTCTTGAGCACTGCGTTATTACTACGCCATGTCACTGGCGAAAAGAGAGTACAATTCTACTTAAGTGAGAGGTGCCTAGGATGGCAAGTTTTTAGAGATGAAAAGTAGATTGGTGGCTATCAAAAGCTGATGGAAGAAAACAGGGAATTGCTCTTTAATGATTGTGGAGCTTCTGCTAAAATGGTTACAGCTTTCTGGAAAAGTATAATGCTGATGGTTGTCAGCATTATGAATGTACTCAATGGCACTGAATCATACACTTAAAAATGATTAAAATGGCAAATTTTGAGTTAAATATATTTTATCACAATTTAAAAATAAATTAAAAAATAAAAAGGACAAAGGGGGCCCACAGATGGTGTGGAGGTTAGGGCAGCTGGATCCACATAGCCAACTGTATGGTTTGAGTTCCAGATCTGGCGGCTTGAAAATCACACTGGCATGTATGTGTGCATGCCCAAAATCTCAGGAGGTGAATGGAGGAAAAGGGACTACAGCATGGCCATCCCCCTCGGGGGATGATTTATCACTTTCCCTTTATCTCTTTCTCTCTTTCTCTTTGTCTCTCACTGGCAAGCATACATGCCCTGTGGCAAACTTAAAAAAAAAAAAAAAGATGAAGGATGGATGGATGGATGGATGGATGGGTGAACACATAGTGGAACAATGCTAATAAGCCCAGGCAAGGCAAAGGCACCATTTTATACCCCAGGAGATCTTTTAGAGACCCTAAGAAATTCTGAAAATCCATAGCAAGGCAGAGACTCATTCATGGTGACTCATGTATATGTT